GTGGCTGAGTGGTATACGAGCTTGCTTGTTTGTAACCAGAAGGTTTTGGGTTCGAAACCCCTGTGGTAGGTGCGTACTGCCGATGATTCACAAACTAGGACAGATGAAACAGCTGGCTGTCCAGTACTCCCTGTGGCTGGTTTTCCAGTGGTTCTCTAACTGATATCATTCCGTGGTCAAACTGGTAAAAACAAATGTAGACCTTAGAAACCAACTCCTGAAAACTAAACAATTCGTCTACTTATATCATCCTTCAAATTATGTTGCTTATACTCTCTCTACCTATAACTCAAAATCATTGTAAAAAGAAGCATGTTCAGACACTATTTTGTAACTTATGATCGATTTCAAGTGTTGGTTTGTAGGGATTTAATTGGTTGGAGGATTTCATCATGAGCTGATATTAGTTAGAGAACCATTGGAAAACCAGCTGGGAGTACTGGATAGCTGTTTTGTCCTGGTTTGGGACTCCACATCAGTACGCACCCACCTGAATTCGAACCCAGGACCTTCTGGTTACAAGGTGAGCTCGTATACCATTAAGCCACCCGTCTCAAACTAGGATGAAATAGCTGTCCAGTACTCCCAGCTGGTTTTCCAATGGTTCTCTAACTAATATCAGCTCATGATGAAAATCCTGTAACCAATCAAATCCCTACAAACCAACACTTGAATATCCATGAGATGCTCACTAGTGACTTGCCCTATTCAGGTATGTAGTTACCTGGGGTTCTAGTGAGAAGTTGTGACCAGCAGGGTGCGGCAGGTCGGGTGTGAGGACAAATAATCGCCGAAGACATTGGCTAGGGGTCGCGCTATGTCGTGAATTGGCAGAAGTTAGAATTCATGGATTGGCCATTGGATCGTGTCCCAGTGTCTTAATGGCATACGAGCTCGCCTTGTAACCAGAAGGTCCTGGGTTCGAACCCTGTGATGGGTGCGTACTGATGAAGAGTCCCAAACTAGGACAAAACAGCTATCCAGTACTCCCAGCTGGTTTTCCAATGGTTCTTTAACTAATGTCAGCTCATGATGGAAATCCTATAATTGATTTATTTAGGATGTAGGCAGTTGAAGAGAATCCACGAAAGCACTAGTAAGTCTTGTCCGTACTCACATTAACTACAGTGTTACAATTCATTGTTTTTTAAAGGCGCATAGTATTCTCAAATAAATAAAATTATATGAGAACTCAAGCTTGATTAGTTATCTGATGGTTTTCCTAAGTGAAAGAATGGAGGGAATCAGTCCTAGACAGATCACCTTGAACTAGTCAAGTATAAGGGATACACATCAGTGTGTAAATGTATAGGAAATAAGGAAGGAACTTTTAACACTAATGAGAATTCAGTCACTGCCTCTATATGGTTCAGAAATGTGGTGCATGCATCACTAACAGCGTCTCACATAAGCTGCAGACTTTCATCAATAACCGCCTCCTTCATCGCCTCGATATTGACGATCAGGGAACGAATCAACTAAAAAACGATCAGACATACACCGAGGAGATATTCAAGCGATATCACATACCAGAGGCTACATTGGGACTCAAACAAAAAGCGACGGGTCCGGCTTCGGAGGATGATATGGAGAAGATCATGTGTAGAGGAAATGAAACACCTGAGGGTAATTGTAAAGCCAGCTGAAAGTGACGATAGAGAAGAGGATACAGTGGAGATGTGCTACCACAGGCAGTAAGTATTCTTAACAGGACTCGAATCCAGCACCCATAGTTCCAAACGCCAAAGCGTCATCCATCACCCATCAAGTTACGTAATCGTAATCCCCAGACATTTTTGAAGCGTCCATACTAAGAGTTGACATCTTAACATGGAGCAAAAATAATTCGGCGGATACAAAATCAACTTAGTTAAATGTAGGAGCTGTTTGTCAGTTTGTGTCAGTGCCGAATTTCTATTTTTCTCCAGATATAGGAACTATAGGGGCAAAGTGTTCACATGTGAACACAGTAAAGAGTATTTAAAGTAACTACGGTCTCAGTGTGTCATCAATTAACTCTCTCTCACACACGAACATACATAATGCATCAAAACTAAGCATTTAAAGGTGGTCCTAGTAGGCTCAACATTTTTATGTACTTCGAATTGTGGGAACTTCAGATAAGATCGAACTTCGTTGTTAATACTATCCGGTTGTATCTCAGTAACAGTCATAATATAAATTGATTCCAAATGTTGAGTTTACGAGAGTTCAATTGCTTCAGAGAAGCGGATTTCTTCAATAGTCGATAGCAGGCGAAAAGCCAGTAACCATGAGTGTTAGATTTTCCTGAGAGGAATGTATTACAGTTCAACCATCAGTATATCTGTAGGCGGCTTTCACTACTTGTAAAGTACTTTATTTTACTACACAGCTCGTCGAGTTAATCGATCGATAGTTACTAACCATACCTGACTGTCGGGCTTGCATATTACAGTGACCCTCTGGACTACACTGCAGTTCCTGCCATGTCAGGAAGGTGGACTGAATAGCGACCAGAATTAAAACAGTTACTATCATATTGTACTAAAGATGTAGATAACCAGCCAACAACAGAAACAAGCACCGATCACTATCAATGGAAGATATTCGAAAGAGGTCACCGCCTTTATTTGTCTGGAAGGCATCGTTACAACCACGGATGACACCACCGTATGAGGATGTCAAAAGAAGAACCGGGAAAGCAAGGTACGCCTTCATCACTCTGGAATCACTTTTGAAATAACAAGTCTCGGATTTGCAACACAAATGTTAAGACAGTCAGTGCTTCTGTATGAGTCAGAAACTTGACGCAGAATCAAAAGCATTTACTGCAGACTTTTGTCAGCGACTGCCTTCGCTCCATATCGAGAATCAAATGGCCAGCTGGCCAGAAAGAATTAGGAACAAGAAACTCCGGAAATCAAACCAAACAGGATCTCATTGCTCAAAAAATATTCCGGAGAAAATGGAGATAGATCGACCAAAAACGCTTAGGAGACCGTCGAATGACATTAAGCAGGATTCACGCCATCGCTCGAATTGAACTCGAGTGGGAAGAGACGAGTTTGGCATTGCTGTGTGGGTGACATGGAGGAGATCGTGTGAATAGGAGGAGATGAGAGGCTATGGGCAATCGTGGACCCATTTAAAGAGGAGGCATGCTTTTGAAGCCATATGTTCCACTAGGAAACCAAGGGAATAATAACAATAACGATAATTATCATAGTAAATGTCATTCACACTAATGTTTTAGATGTAGGGCGTTTGTAGGCGTAATCGTACTGCTAGCGAATGGAGGTGTACTAGCAGTAGGGTGTTTCCCTCATATGACCACAAGCAGCAAGTCACCTATGCCACCTCTGCGCTCTAGAGACGAGGATGAGATTTTATTTTGATAAATCACACAGTGTGTTTTACAGTACAGTAATATTAACTGATGACCACGTTTCAAGCACAAACTATTGCCACTCAGAATCATATCAAGGCACTACTCACACACCTTTTTTCCTTCATTTATATACATGAGTGGGACTAATTAGACATTTGAATAAAAATCAACATAAGATAATGTACATTCAGAAATAACAATATGAATGTTATCAATAAAATACAATCAGATGGGAAATAAGACGAGTGTTTTTATAGTCATAATAAGTAACTTGTTAGAATGTTATGATGTACTTGAAATGAAGTAGGATTTTAAGATTATTTATTATCCTCCTCTGATATGACTGACTGGTGGTAATGATATCTTCCATATCTCTGGTGTTTGCTCCATTATGGATAAGATTTTATTTTGATAAATCACACAGTGTTACACAGTAATATTAACTGATGACGTTTCGAGCACAAAAGCTGTGAGTAACTTGATATGATTATGAGCAATAATTTGTGCTCGAAACGTCATCAGTTAATATTACTGTGTAACACTGTGTGATTTATCAAAATAAAATCTTATCCATAATGGAGTTACACTCTACCACAGTGCCCAAGTTTTATACTTATATCTGGTGTTTGCATTAAGTCATTTCTGTTGCATGTGTCGGGTAGAGACTCAATGAACCAGGATTCAGTAATCAACCACCTCTCTCTCCACCTACTTATGTTACTTCTTAGAATTTCGACTCTGTCCCACCCACCCTATTGTGTGGTTGTGTGTTAATGCATGCAGTGCAGTTGCTGAGTTTTCTTCGTCTAATTTCTTCGTCTAATAAGAAACTTGTTAGAATGTTGTGATGTACATGAATTGAATTGAAATAGAATTTTAAGAATATTTATTATCCTCCCCTGATTTGACTAGTGGCAATAATACGAGTGTTATTGATCAATTACAATCAGATGGGAAATAAGACGAGTGTTTTATCTCATACTGAATTTTATTCCAATATCTAATCGATTCCACACATGTATATAAATGAAGGAAAAACGTTGTGTAAGTAGTGCCTTGATATGATTATGAGTGGCAATAGTTTGTGGTCGAAACGGGGTCATCAATTAATATTACTGTATAACACAACACTGTGTGATTTATCAAAATAAAATCTTATCCATAATGGAGTTATACTCTACCATCACAGTGCCCAAGTTTTATACTTATATCTAGAGATGCGGGTTAGAAAAAGTCAACCCCGAAAATTGTACATCACGGCATACCTTGCAGCGCTCTGTAGCCAGCTGGTTGTAGAAACTTAATACTAACACAACCCTTTAAAGCCAACTCAAATAGGCCGAATGTGACCGGAATCAAGCAGATGTTCCTCGGACTGTGTATGCGGTCACGTAACTCTAATAATCTTTCTGGTTTAGATACTTCAAGATGACATCAACTTCCATGGGTGTGTGCAACTTTGAAAGTAATCACAGTATCCACGCATACTTCCATAAGCCCATAAAGCTGATTGTAGTTCTGATTCCCATCACTACTCAGATTACAAATTAACCAATCAAATCACACTGTTGTTCAATCGATAAAGCCTAGTTAACCAATCAAAATCATCGAAGTAGAAAAGTTCACCTACCTGTTTCTCCTTGACTTGTCATCTCCGAGGAACCAAGAAATTTCACCGATATCATAGGGATTTCATCATTTTCATCAATCACTGGGATAATAACCACTGCCGTACTACTGCGTTCATATGGTTGAGGTGCAGAATCGATAGCTTTCACTTGGAAGACAAATCTTTTAGAATTCTGATTCATGTTATGATTATTGAGGTTGGACGATGATGTCGGTGATGATGATGATGGCGATGGTATATCTGACAGAAATGAACTAAATAACAGCTGGTCATCTGTTAAACTTGTCTCCATCGTCTCATAATCTAACCAACGTTTCAAGATAATTGTACCATCCGCCTGTACACTGAAATAATTCATCGCCAGTGTACCTTGAACCATTGTATATCGGATCCTATTATTCATCGGTGAAGCATCTTCATCTGTAGCCGATAAATTTAATACTACAGTACCGGGAAGTGTTTTCTCCGAGATACCACCATTTGGTGGATAGAATATTGATTTATCAAATATCGGTGGATGATCGTTTACATCGATTATATTGATTTTGATTAGCGCAGTACCTGTACGTTGTGGTAATCCAGAATCAGTAGCTAATAAATAAAATTCATAATGCTGTTTCTGTTCATAATCTAAATTAATTGTTGAAATTAGCTCCAATGGTCCACTGGGATTATCTTCTAAAATAAACGGAATATATTCAGTAGGATCGATATTGTTCTGATTATCGATCTGTTTTTTGATTGACTCTAGATGATAGGTCACTTGACTGTTAGCTCCTTCATCAGGATCATAAGCTCTTGGTAGTACTGTACGTGATGACTGTAGCTGCAGATACTTTTGCTGACGATGTTGTGGTTGTACACTGGGATAGTCGTCTCCGGCATCCTTAGGGATTTCAGATAACTGGACGATAATGTTTGGTATATTCGTCTGATAACTACTACTATTAATGTTATTAGTAGTAGATGTTGCTGTTCTAGTTGGATGGAAGTTGATTCCATTACTAACTGATATCCATGTTGGACTATTATCATTAATATCGATAATCAATAAATCAATAGGTATCTTTTTAATATCGACTTGATTTAATTCTAATATCTGTGTAGTCGATAGAATATGAAGTGTTTTAATACATCGTTTATTCAAATTATTTGATATTATATGCATTGGATTAATAAAATAGCCTAAATTAGTTAAATATTTATCAGTGTTCAGTACGTTTTGTAAAAATAGAGGAGGTCTACCGTTGATTGGAAACCTCGAACTGCTACTACTACTGAGGCTGCTGCTACTGCTACTGCTGGTAATTGTCGAGGGGAAAGAATTAGCACTGCATAGAGCTTCACGGTCGATACGCTTTTTCACAGTTAATTTCCCACTAACCGACTCTAAATCTAACGCATTTGTCAACGGGTCATGTGTATCAAGCAACTGAAAATTGAACTGGAGTTTGTTAAAATTAATCATCTTGTTAGCATGATTTTGATTTTGGCTAGAAAGGAATTGTAAATTGAATAGAATATACTGGTGCAGATATTTTGAAACACCGATAATTTCTGTCCCATTTGGAGATTCTTCAATCAATCGGAAGAGATTTGAGGCTTCTTGTTCTGGTAATGCTTGATATTCGTGTGGAATATGCGTTGGCAGGATTGTGTGACTGGTGTTATTATGGTTATTATTATTATGATTATTATGATTGTTATGATTATTCCGAAGATTATCTTCAACTACTGAGTACACAGAACGCATACAATTGAAACAATTATGAAAATGGAAATAATAATAGAAAAATATTTTAATCAATAAGTGTATTTCTTTGAAACTAGATGACATGTTTTTTTCTGTTTCCTTTCAGTCTGTTGATATCTGAAGAAGGCAAGAGAGAGAAAAAACAAACAACTGGTAATCATTACATAATAAATTGTCGACTTATTTACAAAGAAACCGCCGAGTTTTTGAAGTATTAGCAATATCAAGGTCATTTGTTGAATTAGCCAATCAGGGATGAGTATATACATATTGCACTTCTCGTAAATGATTGGCTAATAAAGCAGGCTCGCTTACTGTTTATGAAATATACCCATTCGCTTATTGATAGCTACTTTTTCTGGATTCATAATGAAGATCAGATGGCTGATCGAAAAGGATTAGCAAAGAAAAAGAAAAAACTCTGGGGACGAACCAACCATCAACCTATTGCTCAATAATTATGTAGAAGGAAATGGAGATGGATTGGGCTCACGCTGAGGAGACCGCTGAATGGTATTACGCGTCAAATCTTCAACTGGAACTCAAATGAGAGGAGATGACTTAGACGAAGGTATAAGAGTGACACGGAGGAGATGCAACTTCGTATGCAGTCGTGGAGCGAACTAAAAAGAACTGCAAAGAGCCTGCTCAGGCATTATCTGGTTTCCAGTATCTACCAAGTGGGCTAAGACTCTAGAACTACTTACGCATTTAGTAACTCCATTTTACTCAATCCTACAGGTACATGTTCCAATTAAAATCAATAAATAGTATTGAATAAATTATCAACTGAAATGACATATATCTGTGTCACCTACAAAAATGAAATGTGCAAAAGAGAAAAAAACCTTTTTGTACAAAAAAGAAACACGAAGAAAAAGATGCGGTTTTCTCAACGAGTTACAAAAACTTCCTAAATCACAAATACATCTGTATGGTATATAAAATATGAAAGTGTTGAAAAGACAATGAACAACTTCATTAATCAAACTAAACGCACTTTTTTGTATGTCTGTGTATTTCACTCACTGTCTCTGTTTATGCGTGTTTGTGTCTGTGTGTGTGCGTGTGTGAATGTGCACCATGTACATGTTTGAATAGATTTCGGGGAATATTATACAAACAGGGGAAAAAACGTCTTTCTACGTCTATAACTAGTGCAACATTTGTTTAGAATTTAGCCATCTGGACATACGTATTTTCGGGAATCAAGAATAGTGGAAACCATGGAAAAACCTCTGAAGTAAAAGGAGGATGTGTGTACATGTGGTTGTGACGAGAACGGTACTCCCGCCTTCCCTACCAGCTTACTGGTTTGTTTGTTTGTTTGTTGGTTCAATGTTACCAATACTTTTGATCCAGATTTTATTTTATTTTCAAGTATTGGTTTTGTCGGGATTCTGTTGGTTTGATTGGTTGGAGGATTTCATCATGAGCTGACATCATTTATAGAATCATTGGAAAACCAGCTAGGGAGCATTGGACAGCTGTTTCGTAAGTCTAGTTTGAGACTCATCGGTAGTATGTCCCATTGCCATGGTTTCGAACACTGGACCTTGTGGTTATAATAAAAAGCTCATAGATTTTTCTACTTTCTCCTGATCCAACGACCTATGAATTCTAACTTTAATCAATTCGTGTTTTCAGTGCGTTCACCAGCCAGTATCGTCAGTGAGTATTTTTGTTTTCTAAATTCAGAGCCCATGGACCTCATTGGCGGTGACTTGTTAGTAGGACTCCAGGGAAGTTCGTCTTGTACTCAATCACTAGAGAGCATCAAAATGATTTTTTAAGGGTTAGTTTGTAGGGATTTGATTGATCTCAAGTTTGATCGCAGATGAGTCCGAAACTAGGACGAAAGAGCTGTCCACTCAGTACTTCCCGGTTGGTTTTCAATGGTTTTGTAACTGATTTAAAAATAACTTTATTCCAAACAGTAATTTTGGTAAAAATATGGAATTTTCAGAATGTAATACAATATTACATCTACTTCTCTCATTATTATGTTATTATTATTTCCTTGCGTTCCGAGTGGAACATAGGGCTTCAACAACACATCTCCACTTTGTTCTGTTTTCTGCCGTCCTCTTCAGCTGGCTGGGCCCAACACTGACCAAGCTCTCTCATCTCCTCTTCGCCTCACGATCTCCTCCATGTCACTCTCGCATCGACGACCCACTCGTCGCTTCCCAACTGGATTCCACTCGAGCAGTAGCCTGGCGTGCGATGTCATTCGACGGCCTCCTCAACGTATGTCCAATCAATCTACCTCCATTTTCTCCCATATATTTGTTGAGCAATCGGCTCTCGGTTGGTTTGTTCCACTCCAGAGTTTCTTGATGCTGATTCTTTCTGGCTGGCCATTTGATCTTCAGTATGGAGCCAGTGAAGTGGACAGCTGTTGATGAAAGTCTACAATCTGTTCGAAATCCTTTTCGTGACTCACAGTGGAAATGTCTGACCTGTATAGAAGAACTGACTGAAAGACTCCACATTTGTGTTGAACAGAATCCGAATCTTGTTCCTTATGCTGAGGTGGAGTGCAGAAGATCTTCAAACTTATGTCGAGTTGATGGAGGCGTATCTTGCCTTTCAGATCCCCACTGGCTGGCTTTGACGTCTTCGTCCTTTCCGCCTGTAGTTGAGATGATGTCTCCAAGACAGATAAGTGAAGGCAGCCTCTGTTAAATCTCTCCCGTTGGTGGTGACTGGTGCTGGCTGTTGTTGTTGTTGCTGTTGGTGGTGATTGGTAGGTTTCTTCATCCCCTCCATCTTCTCTGTGTTCATGTAGAGTCCTGTTTTTGCTACCTCTTCAGACTTTTCTCATTACAGGGACAATAAATAAAATAGGGAATTTACATTAGTAATAATTTACATTATAATAATACTGTTGAATAAGAAGCGAATATAAAATTAAATCAACTGAAAATATTAACGACAGCGTAATAATGAGAACAAAAGACAATGAGGCAGTTTACTTAGAGTTCCTCAGTAAGTTGGTAATTTCCTGCCTCACACACTTTTCTCATCACATAAAAAGTGTGCTGAATAAGGTATCGTAAAGCATTAGATGGTTGGAGGCAATCAGAAGGAAGCCGGGGACCTAGGTTTTGTCCTAGTTGGCACTCACCGGTCATTCAGCAAGGCGATTCTGCAATCTTCAAAGAACTCCTGTCCCACCGACTGAGATTCGAACCCGCGTCAACCAGTGCCGCCTGCAGTCAGAGATGTCACCACCACTGAGCTATTCAGGCTGGCTCGCGATTGACCTCCTGTAGGACTGTAATGGATACTCTGATTGGACATTAATTAACCAGTATTATGTGTCCAGTCCTTTGTTTGGTGCAAAATGAATTCTAACAGTTTATCAGACTGATGAATTCGTATTAATTATTTGTGTAAAACTTGGGCAGTGTGGTAGTAATTAATTCCATATTAGTTTGTTTATTAGATGTATCACACAGTGAAACAGTATTAGTATTTACTGGATGATACAGTTTCGAACACAGTTCATTATTGTTGATAATCATAGCAATCAATTATAATCACACGACTTCGAAACTTGAGTTTTATAGTTTTCTTTGTACTCGCCTATTTGTCGTTGTTGGGTAGTAGAATTTTCCAGATATCCAAGTGGACAGGTGTTGAATCACCCCTATTACACGTGTTTGCAGTTGATTCGATATACAAAGCTTCCGTTATCAATCTTTTTCTCCACCCTATGATATTAGATTTTAGAAGTGTCATCTTATCCTATCCTATTTTATGGTTGTGTGTAATTGCATGTAGTGCTATCTACGGCTGAACTATTCTCTAGATTTCTTGTCTTATTTGGGTCAACTAATCGAGATTTTGCTAGCTTTTATGCTCCACTAGTCTGACTGACTGCCCCTGTTCTACTAGTTTGACCTATGTATTTGACCTGACAATCATCGCAGGCAGGATATTAGATAAACCAAACTGTTTTGTTTCAAAGGCTCCACTGGAGGGATCCTTTAGCCGACAAGGCTTGTTTCTAATTGAGTTTATGGGGGTTCGAATGTCAGCCACTTTTATTCCTGCATTATTAAGAATTTTCCGTAAAGTGGTTTCCGAGATTCCTTCTTTGTAAGGAAGTACTTCGGATGATTTAAATTCCCTATTGTTGGTGATGAGACAAACTGGTCGAAGAAGCAGCAAAGACAGGACTCCAGGTGAACATAGACAAGACGGAGGTTATGAAAATAACCAACCAACGACAACAACAAAAGCAGCAACATCCAGCGCCAATCACCATCAATGGGAGGGATTTGAAAGAGGTTACCTCATTCACTTGTCCAGGGAGCATTGTCTCAACTACAGGAGGAACGGACGAGGATGTCAAATCGAGAATCGAGAAGGCGAGAAACACATTCATCAACCTGAAACCAATCTGGAAATCTTCCACTGTCACTCAGCCTGCATCAACAACAAAATTCGGATTTTCAATACAAACGTCAAGTCAGTCAGTTCTTCTATACGGATGGATCGGAAACTTGGTGGGTCACAAAGAATATTTCCAACAGCCTGTTGCAGACCGTTATCAACAACAACTGTCTTCGCTCTATACTGAAGATCAGATGGCCGGAAAGAATCACCAACAAGAAACTATGGGGACAAACAAAACAAGAACCAATCGCCCAACAAATATGCAGGAGAAAGTGGAGATGGATTGGACACTCACTAGCTGAGGAGGCCGCTGGGTGACATCGCGCGTCAGGCCAACGCTCGAGTGGAACCCGAAAGGGAAGCGGCTAGTGGGACATCAGTGCAAGGGTGACATAGAGGAGATCGTGTGAAGAGGAGTTGAAACAGTATGGACTAACATGGATGCAGGTGAAAAGTACAGTAGAGGACAGAAGCAAGTGGAGGCATGCAGTTGAAGCCCTATGTTGCACAAGGAACCCAAGGGAACAATAATAATAATAATTGTTGGTGATGTCATTATTCTGTGAATGTTTTACATGCATGTCGTCATTAAT